CCCACATCTGGCTCATCCAGAGATATTGCAACCTCCTTTGGTCTCATCCCCTCTGAGCCACTTCTCACCTAGAGAGATCTTTCTAGAACCTTTCTGTGGGTCCCTTAAGGCAGAGATCAGGTCTGCCTCCTCTCTGGGCCCCAGTCCAAGCAGGGTGTGGCAGGAGTTGGTGCCCACAGTGTTTGTGGTCCTGGTTGAGAGAAGGTTGTGGTGGTCATGGTGGTTGACTCCCAACATCTGTAAGACCCCAATCAAGGATGGCAATGTATGAGCATGTGACTCATTTCTGGCCAATAAGACATTTATGGAAGGTCTGCTGGGAGGCTGGGGGCTTGGGGAGAGAAGAGGGACTTTGGGGAAAATGGGACACAAGGAGAGGTACCCTTAATGGTGGCTAACATTATTGTTTCGCTGTTCATTGGGCTCAAAAGGATGAAGTACTAGTCACCATTAAGGGTGCATTAACAGTTTCAGGGCCTTTATGAATTTTATATGCTTGATCGCATTGATTGCTCTCTACCATGACTGGGGTCAGTGCAAAATGAAAATGTAGGGCCCCTTACTGAAAATCAAACAAACAAAAAGTGCTATTAAAGGTACTAAAATATAAAGGTTTTCCTTTACCCATGTTCTCTCAACATGGCATGTGGTTTATTTGGTGTTTAATGTTACACTCCCTCAGGCATGGGAATACTTGTGGGGCAAGGGCCCCTCACTTCTTGACTTGCTTCTGCATGAAACTTGCCAAATGCTGAGTTTCCCTTCCTGCCAGCCACCAGACTGCATTCCCCAGTGGGGGACAGGGATGTCAAGCCTAGCATCTCCCTTTCCCATGGTGTATTGCAATCTCCATGGACATTGTATCCCTTCTGGGGGAAGAGGGTGGCAGTGGTTGTTAGGCAGGAGCTGGTAGGTTCCCTTCCAGGGAAGATGGGTAGGAGGCAGGACCACATATGAGCTGAGGCTCCAAGTTCTTGATGCGTGCTTCATTTCCCATTAGAATTAACTTACAAAACAAATTTAAAGATAATATTAAGAATTTCCAGGTGGCAATTACCAGAGCATTAAGCCTTAAGTGCAGGGCCCTTCTGAGCAATAGGGCCCTGTATAATTGCACTAATTGTTCATCCCTGAAGCTAACCCTGTTCACTACTGTCTGCTGCAGAGTGAAATTTTCAGACCCAGATTTGACCATATAGCTTCCCATTGTTAACCTTGCTATGATTGCCCACTGTTTTCAGGACAATGGCTCTTGTCCTTACATAGCCTATAAACTCTGCATGATCCGGCCCCAGCCTACCCTTTAACATCAACTTGTACAGGAAGAATCTGAAGCAGTACCTTTGAAGCCTCTAGAGAGGGCAGAGAAGGAGTGTCTCAAAACTCTTTGGTAATATCAGGAAGCCAGAAGGCCCTTATCATGAATTTCATTTAGAAACAGCATTGCTACTGGTCCAAGGGGCATTTATTTTCTCCCTTTCATTGCTAATGTGATGTCTTTATATCTGCCATTCTCTAGGCAAGCCATGTGACACCTATATCTCCTTCATGGAGGAGCAGAGTGCACTGCCATGAGGTTGTGCATGGCTCTCAGGTACCCACCCATTCCATAACTGAATCGGAATGTTCCTGTACCTGACCATTGTGGTTCACTGTTCCTGGGGGAAGTGCCCACAAGGTCTGTCCCACCAGGTGGCCAAGAGGCACATGTTTACTGAGCTGGGGCTCCCAATCTCACCCCCACCTGCCCTGCCCTAGAAGAGAACAAGCCCCACTGTAGTGTATCCATCCATGAGCATTTACTGAGCTTTCCTGTCTAGGGACATAGAAATAAACAATGAAAACCTCCTGCCAATCTGCTTGGGGTGGCCACCCAGGAGGGGAAATGTCCTGAGTACCAGAAGAGCAGTGTCTGTAAGAAGAGGGGCTCTGCTAAGGAACCAGGCCTGGAGGGGAGCAGGGGCCTTAATGAGAAGGAACTCACTGGTGAGAACTCCTAAGAAAGGAGTTCTAGCATAACTGTAATAGGCTGCTGGGCCTCATTGCATAAAGCCACATGCTAAGTATTTCACATGTCTTAGGTCTCACTTAACCTAGCAGATAAGAAAACTGAGA